AAATCATAATAATATTTTGTTAAGTGCTGCTTAGTTTGTTACATTTACTCAGAGCTCATCCCAATTTTCCACTTTGAAGCTTTTCATTGATTCATTCATATAGCCTTGACTACATCTGATTTCTAAATTGTTTTACCAACTCATTACTCCCAGAATGCTTCTGATGCAATTACCTAAAAAACATCCTTTACTCAAGGCAAAGAAAAGTAATGTGACCTCTTTTTTGGCTTCCATATACCTCGCAGGCTGCACGAACCTGATCTTTCATTTCAAGGGTTTTCCTAAATGCTGTTTGTGATCTGGGTTGAAAATTCAAGAAGAAGGGATCAGAAGTGACAAAGACGGAGAAAATGATGGTGAGATGAAGAAATGAGAAGAATCCACACAACTGAGGACCAAGCTGGGATCTACAAGAGCCAGGTTATCTCCAGCGAGGCTGAAATGGTCAGGGGCTTTTCACTTCAGCCTCATAGCCCTCCAGTCAGCTCACGAGCTGTGGCTTTGGAGGAAGGGCATCTGCTGCTGAGGTGACATGTGAAGGGGCTGACCCCTGAAGGCTATCTGCCCCCTACACAGACACACACACACACACACACCCCAACAGTAGTATCAAGTCCTCCACTGAGGTGATATCTGGAAGGGCTTCACAGTGTCCATCACTGAACTCAGGGGCAGAAACTTAGGAGTTGCCAATCTGAGTCTCAAACTCAGAATTTATCATTCCTTGATTATTATTCTGTAGTAATGATATCTATTTTGGAAAGAATGAACAAGGAAATATTTACTTGGTTTAAGTAATTTTCTTGAATGGGACAAACAAGGAATGAGTTCAAACAATTCTTGATATGTTTTTATAGACAGAACTGAACTTTCAAAGTCATCCCTAAATTATGAATTAAGGTACTTTATGTCTAATTTCTACACATTAGAGGTGTTGTTTTTTAATGTCTTTTTGTGTGTTTTACAGGGCATTTTGATCTCTACTAATGCATTACCAACATATACTATAATAATGTCTCCTTTTCATAAGTCTTCATTGGGTCTAATGGGAAAAGCATGAAAATGATAACTATGCCCAGAGCAACACTAAGTAAATGAATGTACTTTATTTAGCTTTGATAAAATTTTAATAAACCTCCTTAGTTCTTCGTTTTTAAATTTTTCTTGAAAGTGGTTAGATATAAGACAACTACCCATTCAAAATGCTGTGGATAATATGGGAAATTTAAGATACAAATATACATATTACATCTTTAAATCATGCTTCCTATCACCTACTGTGTTCTGGCTATACCGCCCCTTCTGTTCCGTTCTGTATACTTGCCATGCTCCTTTTCACCTCAGGGTTTCCACACTCCCTTCATCTGCCTTGAACAGAGACCCAAAGTCATCGCACGGCTCTTTTTCCTCTCCCAGGTGATGGCATTAAGCTTATCTCCTCAGAGGTACACACAACCTAGGGAATCCCTTCATGTGTAGGCCACATTTCCGTTATACTAATTATTTACCTCAGATCACCTTGTTTCTGTATTTATCTGCTACTCATTATTTAACCCCTAGTTCATATCTGTGCCTGGCATTTAAGTAATTATTTCACATGGAAGAATAACTCAGACAACAAATGGATATTTGTGATTTATAGGATTTTAAATATGAATCAGAGATGCAAAAAATTATGAGATTTTTAATCTGAGGAAATCAATTCACTCAAATTTCTGAATAAATCTGAATAAAACATGGGACAGTTACTATCTTAATATCATAATTTTTATTAAATAAGTTCTATACAATATTTTTATCTGAGTCTTCCTAACGGGCATCTTAAACAGCATAAGATTGTATAAAATGAGTGTTTCTGTTTCCATAAATAATAAATTTTTCAAGGTAACAAAAATATTCACTTTGCGGGAGACATTCCATTTTCTAATTGGTAAAACCTTGCAAAAACGTTGAAAATTCTTAACTTTCAAATTCTACATTAAAAACAAGCCTATAATAAAGAAAGTCTGTATAAGAGAGACAAACAAAAACAAGTTATAAATTAGGTCACTAGATTTAGAATAATATTTTTGCAAGGAGCTTTTACAATATTTAGCTAGCTTTTAAACTAGGAATATAAGATGTCCCAGAAGATTAATTGAACACAGGAATTCAACCTCTGACGGGGTCAAATGGAATGTCTTTTGTGATCCAGGCTGAACATTTATACTCATACTCAGATATAGATCACTCTACTTACCTAAGTAAATGCTTTCAATGAGATATTAGGTACTTTATTTTTAATCAGGGAGGTACTAAATTCTTATTTTCAACTGTACTTATTTCATGTTATGAAGTTCTATACATGTTCACTTGTTTTTACTAGAGAGAAAGTCTTTTATTTACCTAAAATTCTCAGTCTAGTAGCTCTCTCTCTCAACTACATAGTTACTCTAGAAATTTGGTGCTTGGTGGGAAATACCTTGTTTACTCTACCCTACCACTTGTTTTCATGAGAATTTGATTCCATCTACTTTCAAATATCATCTTTTGAGATAAATGAAAATTATTAGGTATAGGAAAGCCTGGTCTAAGAAAGAATATTTTCTTATAGAGGCCATAAACACAATAATAATGGATTGATGTCAGGATCATAAAGCCACAAGCAATATCTGATACAGTAGAAGAGGGACACCTTACTAAATTATGAAGTACAGTGGAAATAAGCACAGATAAATCCTAGATCTTTAAATACATTTTGTGTACAAAATTTTAGATAATAATCAAACATTACCTGAAATTAATGTTACTTTCTCCAAATTACCAGGTAGTTGTTCTAGTCTATGGTGACATCAAAGTGAAAAAAAAATGCAAAAAAATAAAAATGTCTTGAACGGGAGCACCTGGCTGGCCCAGTCAGTAGAGTATGTAACACTTGATCTCAGGGTTGTGAGTTTGAACCCCACACTGGGTGTAGTAGACCTCATTTATAAAAAATAATAGTAATAATAATATAAGTTAATTTTTAAATGCCTTGCATGTAGGCAAAATCCCCCAGTAATCATTTTCCACAAAGACTAATGCTATGTTGTGCCACAATCTAATTTTCTATGATACTCACATAAGGTATTATGTCAAATAACATGACAATTCAGAAAAAAAAAAAAAATATGGGCCTTTGTCATACTCCACACTCATTCTGGCAGCCTCGCAAAATTAAAAATGTTTTGCAAATGAAATGTCAAGAGAATTTATTTATTTTATCCAAGTGATAGTGTAACAAGTCCTGGATGGCACTGTTACTGGTTTCAGGGAAACAGAAAACAATTACAAAGCTAAGTTAAAGGCAACTTTATTACAGTACTTTTCCAAACTTCAAAATGCATTTATTATTGAATTTAGAACTAAGGTATAATACATTATATTACAAAACAGAAAGCATATCTGGTCGGATATTAGCTTGCATGTATTGCCCAAAGTATAGTTTCCTAAGAACAGCAGCAACACACAATAGTTTATATTACTAGTAAAATATTTCTGATGTCACATAAAGAATCATTTATAATTTATTTTATATTCATTTAAAAACAAAACAAAGTTATCTTTTCTATTTCTTACTAGTAAATGCCTTTAAGTTGTTTATACCCTAAGAACATCCACCAGTTTGGAAATATTTCCTTTGGTAGAAAATGGGATTTTTGAAGCTAACCAGACTAAAAGAACACTCAATTTCCCCACTGCAAATAGGGGCAGAATTCTCTTCTTTCCTTTTTTAGGAGCCAAATCTGGGCCTCCTTCTCTTCATAGCCATCCTGAAATCATATTTGCTTTAAAAAATACCCAAATCTATAATAAACTCTATTCTAATAAAGTCTTCTCTGTTTTATCTTGCCTCCTCCTGTTTGCTTATTTAGGATAATTTACAACCCACTTTGAACATTATGTAATAATGAATTTAAAAGTAATCTTGAGAAAGGTAATAACATTAAGGGTATATTTTCAAAATTAGATGAGAATATTATTTGCTCATCTGCCTCTGCTTTACACAACCAACCAAATTCAACTTACAAATAGAGTTCCTCTTCCAACATTTCTACCCTAATAACAATGGAAACAGATATAAGACCACTGAACAGATCAGAGTCCCTTACTTTGCTCTCTTGGTTTAATATTTGTGAGCTACCAACTAGCACAAAACAAGTTAATCTTCCTCTTTTTTTACGACTGCAGGAAATGGTTAGAAAAGTATAGAAAAGATTCATTTTTTCGTAAGGCAAATTTAATACAGATTTTGCTGTGAGGTTGGAAAAAAAGAAAAAGTGAATGAAAAGGTATGTGCTGGTTGCTTGGGGGGCAAGACTCAAAATCACTGTACGTTAAGAGCACGTGCTGAAACTTCATGGTGCCAGTCACGTAATTTTGTGTATTTGGGACTAAAGACGTGAAGGGGTATCTTTTCCCTGTGGAAAAAAAAAAAGAAAAGAAAAGAAAAGAAAAGAAAAGAAAAGTGATAGAAGAGTCATAAGAAAGAGAAAGAAAAAGTTTCTACACTTAGTTCATCATGCAGAAAACATGCTTTATAAAAGTTTAATTTTATCTAACTATTTTATTTAATAGCAAAGATTTTAAGGATAGAGCATTTTTATAAACACAGAAATTAATACATAGAGCCCTCTTGGAAACCCATTTTTATGCCCAAAACAAAACTTCTACAAGACAACACCAACTCATTCACAAAGATCCATAGCATTAGCAAAGCAAGCCCAAATATACTCTTCTGCCCACTTTTTTCAATACGAAAGGAAATTAACCTTGCATGAAATGCAGATGGTATCTACTAATTCAAAAATTCTTTTTTAATCCCACAGTTAAGTCCCACCAAAGATACCAAAGTTAAATGCTTAGCTTCTAGTTACAAAGACAAAAAGCCATACCACTACGCTTGAAAATGTGAAAAAATAAAGTGAGATCATTCATGAAAAGGAAAGCATTCCAATCAACCAAAATAATGGACAACTTACTTTGCCTTCTTTGTATTTTCAGTGTCCGATTCTTTCACTGAAATATAATACGTAATATCCAACATTAGTTGACTTTTTTTAACTTGAAAAATCATTTGAGCAATTACGTGTACCAGTCAATATCAAATGGTCAAGCTGCACAGAGACACTAAAAAACATCCCACATCATGCTGTCATTGGCTGTGTACTACGGTCAGCACTACTACTGCTGCTACTACTGCTCCACTTTTCAATGCAGCTCTCCTGGGCTAGTTTCTTATGTACATGAACCATATTATGCACAGCATAATTTAAAAGCAAACTCCTTAGGAAAATTACTGTTTTCCAATAATTACCCATCTGTCTAAATGCTATTCTCTATGCCAAAGAACATTTGTATATTACAATCCCTAGGTATTCACTTACGATGCTCAGTTCCAGTGATCTGGGCAAGGATTCGGAAAGAACGAGACTGAGTTGTTCCAGTCCGTGGACGCCAATCTTCAGTGTCCTCAATCAGTCTCTTCTTGCTGGCATCACTATGAGTTGGTATGTGATAAAACTCTGTATTGCGCTCAACAATATGTTTTCTTGGTGGGCTAGGAAGGAAAGAATTACAAATTTTTAAATCATGTTAAGGATAAAATATCCTCTACCAAATTAATTATAATTTACACATTTAATATCAATGCTTTTTTTTTTTTTAAATATATCTTTTGCTTTTCCTAGTGAACTCAGCCTCAATTTTCTTAAAAAGATGCCCGGCTATAATAGACTTTTTCTGAAACTAGTAAAAAAAAAAAAAAAAAGACATTTATATGCTAATATAAAATAATATAAGTATCTATCCAAAAGAAAGTTTACCGTTTAGGTGGGGTTTTCCTTTTAATGGACAGAAGAAGGCAGCAGAAGAGAGATTCCAGCATAAAGAAAAGGAAAAGAATAAGAAAAGAAGGAAAATAATGAGAACTGCAAAGTCCACAGTTTAAAAAATTTTTTTTGTAATTACATGTATTGTTCTTCTACCTACCTTATGCTTCACTAAACACAGCTATGGACTATATTTGCAACCACCATTAAATATCAACATATTCCCAAAATGTATTGGCTTTCACAAAATTAAAGGAACATATCTTCACTACTCCCGGGAACTGGTTTAGTACAGGCTGTCAGTTAATTCCCGGGAATGGTTTAGTACAGGCTAAGTCAATAATTCCAAACATAATTTTTAAAAGGGTCACCTTTCTATGGCTTTCTCATTCATGTGTAGATATCCATCATCTTAAATAAAGTTATGTGCAGGGTCAGTGTAGGGAATAAGAGCTGTGGTATATGGGAAACCAATAAATTTATCAAAACACCAAGATGTAAATCTTGGCTCTATGACTTTACAGATGTGTGACTTTTGGACAAGCCAACCTCACTGAGCCTTTTTCTTTTCATTTATAGATGAGTATATCAAATACAAAGTGGCACTGTTCGAAGCATTAAATGAAATAATATGTGTGAAAGGGATTGTAAACTATAGAATTCAAGGACTTTGAGTTTGCTAAGAACATTCATTTTTCTATTAACAAAGCATAAACATTAAGGAATTTATTAAATACATTAATACTTTGGTCTAAGATCTACTAACATAATGAATACTCCATTCTCTTCCCCCTCCCCATCAAAACAGGACAAACTCAAACTTTTGGAAGCTATAAGTCTAATTCCAGGAGAGATAAAGGAGCCTAAGTCTGGAATAGCAGACTATTGCCATAAAATCCAAGCAGAGAAAGTGCTCAAAGAGTATCAGATGTGAGTGTCAACACCTCCTGGGTGTAACTCCTTGCTACAAAATCACAGTACTATCAGAATGCCACTGGACTGCCATCATTTTAATAGTTACACTACTAAAACTGTTTTGGTATACTAGAAGTGTTCTTGCCCAATGAACAATATGATAGGATTAACATTAACACTGGCTTTAAAAGCAGACAAGTAATAGTTTCAAGCATGACATCCTTCACTTAGTGCGTGTTTCGTGCAAGTCATTTAACTTCTCCAAATTTCAGTTCTACCCATCTGAGTAAAGGGGATTGCATCTACCTTAAAGAGTTGTTTTGAGGAATAAATAAGATCAATAATATATGTAAAGTGTTCTCTAAAGTACCTAATGCACAGTAATGATTACATAATGGCTTCTTTTAAGATCACTAAAAACATTATTTGAAATGCATGTTTTAAGGCTATGGGTCATCGGGGGTGCCTGCGTGGCTCAGTGGGGTAAGCCTCTGCCTTCGGCTAAGGTCATGGTCTCAGGTCTCAGGGTCCTGGAATCAAGTCTGGCATCAGGCACTGTGCTTGGCAGGGAGCCTGCTTCCTCCTTGCTCTCTCTGCCTGCCTCTCTACCTACTTGTGATCTCTGTCAAATAAATAAATAAAATATTTTTTTAAAAAAGACTATGGATCATCAGAATATATAAAGAACAGAAGAGGGGTGCCTCAGTTGGCTCAGCAGTTAAGTGTCCCACCCTTGGTTTCCACTTGGGTTCAGGTCATGAGACTGAGCCATGTTGTGGCTCTGTGCTCAGTGGGAATCTACTTGAGATTCTCTCCCTCTGCCCAATCCCCATGAGCTCTCTTTTCCTCAAATAAATAAATCTTGAAAAATAAATAACAGAATAAATAATATTTACATACAAAATATTTATAGCTTATGGTAAAATTTTAAGATTCCAAAAGTGAAATATCTGATATTAATTACTTCACTAAAAACCCAATCTTTTTTAAAAGAGGATTTTAGGGGGCGCCTAGTTGGCTTGTGGGTTAAGCCTCTGCCTTAAGCTCAGGTCATGATCCCGGGGTTCTGGGATTGAGGCTGGCATCAGGCTCTCTGCTCAGCGGGGAGCCTGCTTCCCCCTCTCTCTCTGCCTGCCTCTCTGTCTACTTGTGATCTCTCTCTGTCAAATAAATAAATGAAATCTTTAAAAAAAGAGAGAATTTTTAAAAAATCAGAATACTCAGAATACTTCATAAACACACTACATTTAGAAGATATAATTTCCTCAACAGACAACAAACAGACATAAGGTAAAGACCTTATGCAATTACTTGAAAAACTTCATATTTAGCTACTAAAAGTTTAAATTTCTCTATAATTACTGAATGCAGTTTACTCTTAAATGGTGCCAATTTCAACTATAAGACTATTTTATTTTCTACAAAAGGTTTGGTCTGTAAAAATACAAAACAGTGGTGTCAAGCTAAGAATAAGTACACTGAGAATAATAAAATGACACCATTTAAGAATACATTTTAGCCACAACATACTTGGAAAAAGCATGGTACACCTCTGAATTTCTGATATTCAAGACAGCTTAAGGCCCTGTGTTAAGTGATATGAAGTTTCTAAACATATACTTAGCTTTTCTGGATCTGACATTCTAAACTCTGATAGCTGTGATAAAAGAAGAGAGTCATCTCAATGATTTTATTTTTTAAAAATATATTTGAGATAGAATATAAATTTGACTATCAAAAGCAAATAATTTATTTCAAAATATAGATATTCACAATTAGCAACTTTATTCATATTTTAAAAAAATACTAAGCAAGAGAGACCCAAACTATGTCTCTAACTCCAGTATACACGGTCTACAATACTTATCTCTTTGAAGGTGCAGCTTACTGATTTTTTCCACCGCCAAAGTGGAAAACACACCCACTGATTTAAATGAAGTTCTTTAGTATGAAAAACATGTTTCCTAGGTTCCTTAACAAATTTGAAAATTCTTGCATGGAGAAGACATTAACCAAGTTTGCTGGTGGTATTAAATTGAAAGTAAGATGGAAAGTTGAAGAGAGACAATGATGAAAATTACAAAAGGAACCATTGATTAGGTACTTACACAGTGCCAGGGTTACTGAAGGAAGAATAATACACACAAGAAATACGTAATAGAGTACAGAAGACATTGATGTTCCCAGGATAATGGAAAATGGACAAATATGAAGCAAAAAAAGAGGGGTGGGGGATAGAAAAAAGAAAAGAGAAAGAAAAAAGAAAATAAAAAAATGAAATAATGAAATTCAAAACAATGAATTTACATGAAGATGTTACACATAAACATCATGCTTCAAAATAAACATGTAAACACAAACAAAAATGAACAAATATTAGTCAAAATTCTGTTATATGTTAACAGAGAAAGATTCACTATTTAAAAAGATCTCTAGGTTTACTTATTTCATTTTAGCATGAATCCAAATTTCTATTATGTTCCTAACAAAAGGGAGAGAATAAAATAATTACTGGATATAAGATGTAGAAACAGAACATTTTAGAAACACTTAAAATCAGAGAAAGTCTTTCACTCACATAACATGTGAAGTATGTATTAATAGCAAATGCAATCTCACAAAAATTATCCTGAATCATTAAAATAAAAACTTAATCCCCTGCCAAATCACTATATTGTACACCTGAAACTGTATGTTAACTGGGAGTAAGATAAAAACATAAAAAGCCAAAAAAATTATCCTGAAACAGATACTACAAAGAAATAACATGCTATTTGATTTTTCTCTTATTTTTAAAAAAATGTGATTATGATGGAAAATATAGGAAGTATACTGGATCAAAAATAATGGGCTACCACTTAATTTTCATACTCTCCTCTGTCTGTCATTACCACGCTTATTCACAAGCAAATCCCAGTAAGTCTGATATTGATTCATAGGAACTCATGCTTTCATTTTCTATTATTTTTTATTATTACTCAAAAAGGAATGCCTGATATGATATAGTAAAGGAACTACACTAATAACATTTGAAGAAGGAAGATCTCAAAACATAATTCATTCACACAGCCTATTAATTATAAATCATTAAAGGCAAATATATTTATATACCATTATGGACAGAGAAGACTAAACTCTACATAGTTTGTCAACACACTGCTGAATCAATCCTGAAATGAAGTTTAGTCAGAGTAACTAGCAATTCATTATGAACCTAGTGACAGTTTTAATATTAACAATGCTCAGTGTAGCTGTATTTCCTGGATATATATCAAAGTCAGTTTCATAAACTCTACAGAGGGTGGAGTTTCACTGAAGAGGGGTGGGATGCAGGAGTATGCTGATCTCAGCATTTATTGATATGGACTCTGCTGTAGCCACGACGCAAACCATACACTCCTCTGCCTTACGATTTTAAATAGCAGGGAAATAGTTTTTCAAAATAACCTCCCCTGAACAGAATTTTAGAAACATATTTAAACATTTTTAAGTTTAGGGGGGAAAGTTTTATATCAACATGAAGTTGGGAGGGAACCATTCTATTGTGTAGTAAGTGGCAACAAATGGAGACTAGATTGGTTTCAACCTAAAGATGCCAACTTGTATATATCGAACAAATATTTCCAAGCATTTCAGAAAATGTGCCCAGGTGGAATGGAGCATCATACATGCAATGGCATTTGTGCTAACGTGACAATGAGAAGACCTGTCTCCACACCCTGACTATGCTGCCACTTGCCCTCTGCCCTGGACAAGGTGAAATCTACAGAAGCTCCTCTTTACTGAACAGTGAAATGGTTATAATTTCTTTTTCTTTCTGAATTCTTGTAAGGGCATAAGTTTAATTTATGTAAAGACACTCTGAAAACCACACAAACACAGATTTGTTGTTAGGGTAGATCCCCTAACTGATATTAAAAACAAAAAAAGTACTATCAAACCCAACTGTAGTTTATGCACAATATTCAACCCATTTAAAAACAAATACTAGTTCAAAGTAACAGAAATAAGCCAGGATCACAGTCAGGTAATGCAGAGGAAGGCATGTCAAACTGACTTCAAAAAAACCTAAGCCTTGAATCTTAATCACTTACAAGATGCATGACTTGAGAAAATTAAGTAACCTCTCAGTGTTCAAAGTCTGAATAAGAATTAAATCACATAATTCACTCATAAACACCTAGCACAATGGACACTAATACCTAATAAATTAATGAATCTGAATCCTGAATTTAAAAATACATATATTTAACCTACATGCTTATATTTATTTTTCCAAGGCACAATTTTTCCCCTTTATAAGTGATATTGTTTATTATGGACTCTAGAAACTAGTCAAAATCTTTGTGTATAAGAATTTAAATAATAAATTAGGGCTTGGAGATCTTTCACTAGTACAATGGTGTACTATATTCCTATGGGTATGGAACATGGAACTATTCAATTAGTGAGACCACAGCCACACTGGAATAAAGTTGTTCTAATAATTTGATCATTAATTCTCTGGTATGCCTAAAATAGTTAAATATTATATATTTTCAATTCTAATCTACATTGTGATGATACATTTCAGCACATGCTCAGACTAATCCTAATACAAAATTAATTTATTATCTAATGTGATTTTTATCTATTTTTAAGGCTATTAATCACCAGCCAGTGTACCATCAAGACCAACAGACACAAAAGCGAGGTTTTAAGGATATTCCACAGTGATTCCCAATGTCTATGCCAACTACCTATGTCATTTGATAAGCCAGTAACTATCTCTCTTAGCTAATGTCAAAAGGTATGTATAAACTTTGTATCTAGAGTCACACAACTATACATGTAGAGGTCTAAAACTTCTGCAACATTGCTGAAAAAATAAAAAAGGTTCTTAAGGAACTTTACCTGGGAACGCTGGTTTGTTATGTGAATTTGGAAAACAATTCAGTTTTGTACATGTTATTTGCTAGTGGTTCGTATGTTTATTCTTTCTCTTGTATCTTTCTCTTTGTCTTTTAACAGTCTTGACTGACACAAATTACATTCCCCCAAGCATTATGTCTTATAAACCACTACACACAGCAAACCCCACATATATTTTATGGCAAAAGTTAAATACTATTATTTATTACCAAAAAGCAATTCACTACAACATAGCAATGCAAACCAAACTTATTGAAAACACTAAATGTGTTTTTTTAATGACAGCGGTTTTGCAAAATGTTAATTTTGCAAAAATCAGACACATTCATGCTCTTTACTCATATATAAATCACCATATTTCCTCTCCAGTAATGTGGATACTAACTTTGTCACTTGTGTTTTCTGTAAAAAGAAAAGCATTTTAAAATATTACTACAATATCATACTCTGTATCTTCCAAGGCCACCAGTTTCTTCAAAATAACATATTGGAACTGTTAGAAGAAATTGCAGTCCAACAAAATTGAAATTAATAAAGGATACATGACACACTTACCTCTTGAAAGCAGTGGCACATTATAATGCAAGGGCATATGGAAAGGGAAAAGGTAAATTACTTAAACTACTTGATGCAAAATAGCTTCCCTTTCAGTTTGGAATACAAAGTCCCATTTTGGTCTAAGTAGAGTAAAGAGGGAGAGGAGTAAGGAAAATAGCAAGTCAAGACCAATAATTTGTATATGTAGAAGAAAGATTAAAAATTTCACAAAGTGCCTTGTTCAGTATTATTTATAAGAAGGAACAAGAGCACTTACATAGCATTATTAAGAAACCTTCTAAAACTATCAATATAATTATAGATTTTATACTTTATGATGAGTAACAATTTCTCAGTAGTAATGCATAACAAATAAACACTTATTTGTATCTTGTGTTAATTAATCCCACATTAATTTGGGTGAGACACCTACCAATTTGGCAAACTGGCCAATGACTTTAAATCACTTAAATACTAATAATCTTTCTGCTTTGAGGAAAAAGACAACTTAAGAACTTAGCTTTATACCCTTCTGAACTCTTAAATTTTTGGTTACTGGCATGTATTATTTTTAAAATAAAAAGTAATTTAATAAAAAGTCACAACTCTCAATGTTGCATATCTTTTATAACACTACAAAAATATGAAAAATGTACTAATCACATAATTAGTAAATACTCTGACAATTATTTCAGACAAAGTTTGCTACCTGATGAGGGAAATATATTCATCAATACCACAAAACACCTATCCTTCAAAATGACAGATCACTGACTAGTAAAAAGCATGATTTATCTTTGATTTCTCTAATCTGAATGCAGTAAGAGAAATGTCAACTGCAAATCTGTCTTGGAATTTCACAGACACCACACTTTGTTTTCAGACTAATCACGTTCTCATTGTCCATCACCTGGACAACATCTGAAATCAACCTATTTTTAAATATACCCAGTTTGCCAGTGTGAAGCAATACCGTGCTTGTTCATGATGCAAAATATGTAATAACCCCCCTTTCCTCGAATTCTTGTACAGTGCTAGACAAAGGCACATGCTGAGTAATCACATGTCCACTGATTAAAAAGCCATCATCGAGGCCTTATTACTATACCACTGCCTACGGTTTCAGTTTGAAAATAATAAGCTTTAAATCATTTTATGTTTAAGGGTCAAAGTTGTTTTTATAAAGCAAATACTTAAGCTTCTTATTCATATTTTCACGTTGTAAATATAGTACTTTTCCATACCTCAATTTACTTTTACCTGTACAAGTTTCCACTAAGAAGACTATCTTATATGAATCAGTAAAGTTGGATTTTTTTCCTTAAAAAAAAAAAAAAAAAAAGAAAAAGAAGACCATTTTATAAAATTTCAAGAAATGTAAGGAGAAATATTTTTGTTCAGACACTTCTTCCAGTGGACTTTTTTACACTGAAATGGTAATTTAATTAACATACTAAATTTCTGCTTTTAGTTTTCTATGGGGCCAATAATTTGATAGGCAGCATCTTTCTTCTAAGAATATCCACTTTGATCACTCTAAATTCTATTGTCTTGAAATAGACATACAAAAAAACACAACCAAACACACCTCAACACTACATATTATTTCTCTTTCTCAAATAAAAGAAGAAATAACGTTCTTTGAAGGACACTAATTTTCCCCAATATATGCGTCAAAACTTTAAAAAGCCACCCACAACCACAAAAACTGTATGTTCAAGCAGTAGCTGTTCTTCCAGACCTCCTGCTCTTTCTCTCAGCAGCCGCCTGGAGCCCTGCCACCTTCTTTTCAAAGCCCCACGTTGCCATGGCAGCGGTGCTACAGAAAGCACAGCCCCTTCATTACGTGAATTAACATTCGGAAGGGATTATCTCAGAAAGGACCTATGCACGCAATTATTTTAATTATATTTTCCTGGGAACTGGCACTGGTTAAAAAAAAATCATGCATGTAGATGATTTTCCTTTGTTTTTCTTTTAAAGCACATTTTTGTCAAAATCAATGTGATCAAAATGATTTTACAAAAATGACATTGCCTTCAAGTATAGTCACATAATTCCAAAAAGAATAAGATGACCATCTATAAAGGAAGCTGCTGAAAATGCACGTCAATCAATGTTTTTAAATGCCTCAAAAAGGAAAAAAATAATAAGGAATAGATTTTCAAAACTTCCACTGACATTAAACATCTAGTGTCCACTTCCATAAACCTATTCACATTTTAGAAAAACCTTTACAATGAAAACATCCTCTAATTTGTTTCTGATGTTTGTGAAGTATCCTTCGATGCTATTGTTCTGTCATTACTGTTTGCTTTTACAGACTAAATTCTAGCTTAAGCTTATCTGAAAAGAATGTTGCTGGCTATCTGACCTAAGCTAATGCATCATACGTAGACATGAGTCAAAACTAAATTTGTTTTCTGTCTTAAGACTACTTCCTAGAAAAAAAGCTTCTTACAAGCTCCTCATTTCCTCTCTCCTTAGAATGAGATACATAAGCTGACACAACTGTAACCACTCTGTTTAAACTTTCAGTGACTAATAAAAGGATGGAAAAAATGAGAAAGAAAGATTCAAGATCTGTCTTGCATTATAAGTGCCAGCTGCTCCATGTTATACCAGGACTTGGAGAAAGAGTTAGAGTAGTATGTTACATGGTTCATAACATGTCAAAATGCAGTACTTAGGTTTTGATTAACCTACAATTGCCTTGCAGAAAGTGCTACATGTATATAATATAAAGCTACATGTTAATGAAGCAAATAAAATTTCATCTTCTTTCCTTCAAAGAACTGCTGACGGGGGGGTGAGGGGGTGGGGGTAAATTATCTCCGGGAAATTGCCTGAAAGAAGAGTTTTGATAAGAGCAGAAAGCACCCTTGGCCACCTACCCATTTTGCTGTTTAATGTCACCCTGGGATCCTCTTCTCTGCCCCTCTGCTAGCTCCTGAGCAGTCTCGGAACACACGGTGGTGACTGTGGGCTGCCGTGGGACATTAACTGCAGGTTTACCAGCGCTCAGTGCAGATGAATGCTGGTCAGCACTAAGATTGGCATTAGCATGCAGTCCAGATGCAACAAATGAGGGAGGAGTGACAGCAGCCACGGGTAGAGGGGAAGCATGTGATGAAGTGGTCGCATGGGCTGGGGTGAAGGCAGACGATGGTGATGGGATGGATGTGACTTTTGGTGAAGACACAGAACCAAAAGGTCGTGGTGCCTTATTGTAGGCCATGTTGGTTGTGGAAGTGACTTTGGACACAGCAGGAGATGTAATGGGCACAGGTTTAACTACTTCTTTAGGTTCTCCCTATGTAAAATAAAAATAAACATACACAAAAACACACCAAATACATGCAAAATAGATTCACTGAAAAAAACACACAGCTAGTTTTTAAAAAGACAAACACAATCATGTTAGCAGCCCCGACTTTACTTGTTTCTACATAAAAACAATGAGCATAACATGCATGCCAACTGATCCCAACATGCACAACACAGATGCACACGATGAGTTTTTTTTTTTATAAAAATGAAAGAAGTTTCAAAATATCTAGGAACTAGAGTAGGAAAACTACCAAAAAGCCTAAATGCCATCGTGTCAACAGACACTTTAATTTCCCAAAAGGAAAAAAATTTTAAATACCCCACAATAAACAAAATATTGCTAACCAAAACATTTATTTTAGAATATCCAGAGTCTGGATTATAATTTCATCTTTCAAACATGTTTAATTACTCCCCAGAGTACAATTATTTGATACACGCAGAAAAAAACAGCATATTTCTAAGTCTTCTAATAAAAAAAAATTTTTAAACAGAAGGAAAAGATCATTTTCTCATCTAACTCAAAAATGTGCACATTCTAATGATTATTTTGAATAAAGATATTGCTTAAAAGAAAAATCTAAAAAATCCACCTGTTTTTCTTCTCTCTGGAATGTTTTGAGATATTCTTTGGAGGTGGAATAAAAATTATTTCCCTCTTCCAAAATAGTTAATAGTTACATTTAAAAAAATGATCTTAGATGTTTCTTTATTGCTGTTTATCAAAGAAAAATTAATTACTAAGAAAGATCAATTCCTCCTAAAATTAACATAGTTTGTGTTTGCAAATCCTTATCCCAAAGAAAGTGTGAAGTTTAAAACAAAACAAAACAAAAGGTTAAGCTTCTGTGACATTCAAGAATAAATTCCTACTCACCCTACCATCCCAAAAGAAAAACAATCAAATTCTTTAAAAAACCTACAAAGGTGGCCCTATTATGTTTCATTTTAAGAAAAAAATAAGTAATCTAAATTAATCTTGTAGAAATAATAAAGCTAACTGGGGGGAGGGAAGTAACTTATGTCTCAGCAAATCAATATAAGTAATTCAGTGGAAAGGCACAAATAAAATTAAGGAGAAAACCCCCCAAAGTATAAGCCAGCTGTGTATGAAAAATGGTTTGGGACAATTTGAAGATATATATGAGAGAAAAAAGGTACTTGCCAATAACCTAATCTAGAATACTGAAAATGTAATTAAAAACCTATTAATATTACTAATAAAATGTTATCAAAGACTTGTGATATTCATTTTCTGGAACCACTTTTTTACTCTCTTTAAAACATGTGAATAAACATAGACAAATTAAAAGTGAATGTGAATGTAAGAAATATGGATAAAAGTTAGATAATATATGGCGAAAGAAAGCATGTTTTAATAATACGGGTATAATTACAGATGTCAATTAGGAATGTGTTGATTTCCATCCCTCACCCCCCACAATCCTTAAAGGGAAAGAACTGTAAGGAAAACTGTATTGAAACTATAAATTGTCAGTATGGCCTAAGACAAAGAATGGAAATGACAGTGATTCAGGAGGGACAATCAAGTGGTACCTAGTGATACCAGATGAGAAACACACCTTCTGCACCGCAACTGGCTCAGGCTTGGGTGTAGCAGATGCCCTGAAGGGAAAAAAAAAAAGAAAGAAAGAAAGAAAGAAAAAAGGGAAAAAAAACATAAGTTTTTGCAAATAACTTATTAATATAATTTTATTAGTAAATACCTTAATATGTTAAATATTTATAGTTTCATAATTCATAGTCTTGACTATTCGTCTCTACTAATTAACTCCTGTAACTCAAATGCTGCAAGTACCGATACCCTTACACACTGGATATTCATTAGTTTTCTACACACTCAAATGAAGAAAGACAAACACCAATTGTGCTTCCTCATGCACATGTGTTTAAGCTTTCAGTTACGGTTATTCTCCACCCAAAACTGAAAAGTATAATAAACATGACTTTCTCATCCTTTAGTGGTTCCTGAAATCTAATCTGAACCTCTATCTCCACTGGTATTTCTGCCTTTTCTTCTAACGTCCAAGAATAGGACCACAGGATATTGGGTCTCTGTGAAGATAGTAAGTTCTGGTTGAACGGAGTCACCGAATGAGTATTTATTTTGTGTTTATATTCTTAAGTGCTTGTACAAGGTAATATATTTGTTATGCTAAAACTAAACTTTAAGTTCTTCTATTAGGCTATAATTTCAGTGAAGGAAATGACAATATCCCATTTGTGTCTCTATACCAACACTGTGCCTGGCATGCAATATGTCATCAGTAATAAGAGTGGAAAGGAGAGACCAAGGAAAGAAGGGCAAAACTCCATGCACAGAACGAATTTCCAATTCAAATTAGGTATTTTCGATATATGCTTTTTTGGTATTATTACTCTCTCTTTGGTTAGCATGGACTAACAGTAACAATAATTGATTTGGAGCAACTATTGCATATAATCATGACAAATAACCGAAGTAGCAACTACCCTTATCCCCATTTTTCAGATGGTATTTCAAAGTTTAGAGTAAGTAAATTACATAGGATATACAGCTGGCTGACAATTCTTACATATTACAATATACTACCGGCAGTCAAGGATAGTAACTAAATGATTGGGAAAGCTTCTAATAATTTACCCAGTATTAAGGTACATATTATGTTTAATAATGCAAGAAGCAATGTGACTCCTCTTATAATACAGGCTGCGATATCAAGTGAAAGATTCAAGAAATGTAACTATAGTAGGTAAATAAGTGATAACAATTTTAAGCTACAAACCATGAGATTATTTTACTTACAGAGAGAACAGATCGCCAACAAAAGAAACTACCATAGGATATTTGATCTCTATAATAATGAACTCTGATCATTTTTAATAGCAACTGAATTTTCCAGTAACAATTAAATTGGTTAGGGCAAGAACCAACTGAATAATTGGCTGACCTAATGAGAGGCTACAATGGATGCTAACATTCCGTTACCACAATATAGAATTATACTCTGAAGTTGCATAACTTTCCATGTGTACTCTCAAATAGACAATTTCTCTTTTAGCTTATAGGGTTATTATAATAAGCAAAGGAAACAAGTTCAAGTACAGAACAGTGGAATCTTCCTTTCATTGAAATTTCACAATGAAATGTAATCACAAAGGTTCTACTTATTAAAATCTCCCAAGACATTATTGGAAGTTTGCCATAATAGGGCGGTTTTCTTTTTCATCTGGACACACTTAAAGGTACATGGAACTCTTCTAGCAACATAAAAATAATTTATAAAAAAGAACTTGATATTTAACAGTCACCAAATTTCCAAACAGAATAAAATGCATATATCCCTATGTCCATGAAAACAAACCCCTTAGCTTTTCCTAGGTGTTAGTTCTTAACCAATGTTAGCAACAATAACAACAAGAAGCTCAGAATGGTTAGTTTACTTAATTTTGGAATCCAACCTCTGACTTTGTTGAGAAAGCACAGAATAATAATAGTCCTAAAATACTTTATGCATTGAAAGCTCAACAAAAATACTGTACTGCTTGAAATCTTGAATTAACAGAAGAACTTAAAATCTGAAATTTGAATCTATTTGCCCTGCTTACCTTCTGATACAGTCTCACAAGTGCAACTACCTGAACTAAGAGAAGCAGTCAGAAAAAAAAAAAAAAAAATGGGGTGCCTGGGTGGCTCAGTGGGTTAAAGCCTCTGCCTTCGGCTCAGGTCATGATCCCAGGGTCCTCGGATTGAGGACAGCATCCACTCTCTGCTCAGCAGGGAGCCTGCTTCCCTTCCCCTCTCTCTGCCTGCCTCTCTGCCTACTTGTGATCTCTGTCTGTCAAATAAATAAATAAATAATCTTAAAAAAAATGGATAACACACCCTCAAAATCCCAGAATTAAGTCCATTAAACATTAAAAACAAAACATCATTTTGTAGGGGAAAAACAGACTTACTTATAAAGAAATGTCAAAGTAGTTGGCACTCAGTGCAATAAAAATTAGTTCCTTGGGTTTAAATATTTAAATAACCACCAAATGAGTCATAAAATCATTGAAACTTAGATTTCCTTAAAGTTATTTTGTTACGACATGCAAGTATTCATCTGACCTCTGAAAATTTATAGGCGTTCATAATTTAAGCCATATAATTTTTTAAAAAGATTTTATTTATTCATTTGACAGAGATCACAAGTAAGCAGAGAGGCAGGCAGAGGGAGAGAGGGAAGCAGGCTCCCTGCCGGGCAGAGAGCCCATTGTGGGGCTGGATCCCAGAATCCTGGGATCATGACCTGAGTTGAAGGCAGAGGCTTTAACCCACTGAGCCACCAAGGTTCCCCAAAGCCACATAATTTTTTTAACTCTTCTATTTAAAATGGCCCTCATTTTATTTTTTAAATTTTTTTTTAATTTGACTTTTTAAAAAAATTTTATTTATTTATTTGACAGAGAGAGAGAGAGTACAAGCAGAGGGAGTGGAAAGGGGAGAAGCAAGCTCCCCACTGAGCAAGGAGCCCTATGCGGGGCTCAAGTCTAGGACCCCAGGATCATGACCCAAGCTGAAGGCAGACCTTCAACCAACTTCACCACCCAGGCTCACCTCAAATGGCCCTCATTTTAGAGTGTGGTTTTGCTTTTTCTAGTAGAGAAGTCAAACTGTCCACATTAAAAATATTTGGAAAAATTTTCCAAATTTTTTTTAACACACAGTATATGTACCCATAACATGCATTAATTACATTTTTATAAGATCAGTATTTAAGTGTATTTATCTTATATTTAAGTGTATTTTAACTTACATGTATATTTAAGTAAAATTACATACTCTTATGACACAAACTACTGTGCTTTGAGAAATTAAAATACATGACAAATGAAATTTGCAAAATTAATGAACAGCATTGGTACTAGTTTTTTAAAAAGTCAAACTTCATTAATTATTATAAAATAACAAAATAAGATATACCACCTTTTGCTCTCAAGTGTGTAGTTTTTTTAAAAGTTAATACATAATGTTTGTGAGACTGCATGTTGCTGGAAAAACTATATATTAATATAGCTCTCTTGAAAAATAATTTGGCATTTATTTATAAAAAGCCTTGAAGAGGGGCAGCTGGGTGGCTCAATGGGTTAAGCTCTGCCTTTGGCTCAGGTCATGGTCTCAGGGTCCTGGAATGGAGCCCCTGCATCAGGCTCTCTGCTCAGCAGGGGGCCTGCTTCCCCCACTTTCTCTGCCTGCCTCTCTGCCTACTTGTGCTCTCTCTGTCAAATAAATAAATTAAGTAAATAAATAAATAAGTAAGCCTTGAAGAAAGCTCATACCCTTTGACATAATAATCAGCTGCTGGGAATCTATCATAAGGAAACAACCTGGAATAAGGAAAGGGCTTTATGTATAAAGATATTCATTCCCTACAATGTAACTTATATAGTGAAAAACTGGAAACGACAGTTTAAATAAACAACAATGAGGGAATGGTTAATTGCAATAAAACCACAATAGGAAAATGTAATGATTAAAACCATTCTTTGAAAGAATCCTAAATTGCATGAGAACATGCCTACTTTATGATATAAGTGAAAAAAGGAAGATATAATATAGCATATCCAGTATGGTCAGTGCATGGAAAAAGTAGATGGAAACAGACTAACATTTTACTAAAGGCTCTCTATGAATATTTGTTTTTTCTCTTTTGTGTTTTCTGTTTTATAAAACATACATGTGCTCTTTTTATGGCAAGTAAAACTATTTCTCAAAGTATGTTTCACGGAAAGCAACTTTTCAAAACACAAAACAAAAAAAGAGATTCTGTTACCAAAGATAGCTGTAATACTTAAGTTAGATAAATATGCTAGGCACAGAACTTCTCAGAGCCTTTAATGCCTAAAGAAAAAAATATTGCAGACTGTTGTCCATACCCCTTTGAAGTATGGCATACTAATGTATTTAGAATGCTTATTTATTTAGGAAACCTTTCTCAAGACTGGAGTTAGAGAAGGAAAAAACCCTCTGGGAAATGCTATTTTAAAGAAACAGTAAAGAAAGTAAATCTTTGTAAGTCTGAAATGTTTACTTAAGCCTCCTGCAAGTGGCTAAAATAAAGGAAAAGAAATATTATAATCCATATAATCCTCAAAACCTTTTGTCATACCGAATATATTCTTTATCAAACTAGTGCTTTCTTCAACTGTGTTTAAATAAGCTACCCAAAGGTTATTAGAATAATTTAATCACTGTTGAAGGGAGGAAAATCCTATTTTCTTCACCAAACTGAAAAATGTATTTCCTATATTCCGAGGAGAAAATCCTAATATATGAATAAGAAAAACTATTTCTCAAAATTGAGATTTTTACAGTTGTCTTTCTTTAAAAAAAAAAAAATTATACTGATCATCTGCTCCTTTACTTTAGAAATGTCAGAGATTACTTCAAAGTGAATCATTTTTAAAAGACGTTTAAATAGATAAGCAGTTTTAAAAACTGAGGTATAATTATTAAAAATTATTCCATTTTTCTCTCCAAATCCTGGGAAATACACAACAGGGTAATATATCTCCATTTCAACCACAGTGATCATCACAAGTCACTTTTATGTAGTGTGTGTTTCAAACCAGCAGAGATC